ATATTGGTTTAAATTCACACCTAAGCTACATTGGTATAACTTTCCCATGTAGACAGCGCCTTAGTCTCCATTCATTTATAGTTAGACGCCAGAGTTTTTTTTTTAAAGAAAAATATAAATTTGTACATTCCCAAGTTACCTTTCCCATCAGTATGCACCCCTTTCTGGTATACAAGCTTTATTGTTTAATGTAATAGTCTCTCCTTTCAAGTTGGTAAATCAACTATCAAAATTCCATTATGCATTTCAGATTCCAACTTTCGGAATATGACACAACTTGAACTTCTTTGTTTATAGAGGGTCATAAATCTGCTTTTTAGGATAAGATTGGGGTGAGTAAAGAATGTATCCTACAAAACCTTTATGTATTGTATAGACATTATGAGTGAAATCCTGGCTCTGTTGAAGTCAATAGGAGTCTTGCCATTGACTTAAATAAGGCCAGGATTTCACCCTATATTTTTAGCCATTTGTGGTGTTCTGGTTGGGAAGGGGATATTGAACAACATTTTAGTACTTTTAGTGTCTGACCAAGAGAAAATATGATTGATCTACTCTTGATGATTGTTTTTACACAAAATGAAGATTAATTAAAGTAGGATTTTGCATTTCTGAGTATTGATCTGTGTAACTTAATGAAAATCCTCTTCTCTTTGATGATGACTGTAATTTTTAAAATTCCAGCCTTGTCCTTCCTAGCTAGTAATGAATAAGGCTAAATTTTAGTCACTGGTATTTTTAGTAAAAGTCATGGACAGGTCACGGTCAGTAAACAAAAATTCACAGCCCGTGACCTGTCCATGACTTGTACTATATACCCCTAACTAAAACTTGGGCCAGCTGGTCGCAGGTGCTCTGGGAGGGCAGTCCGGAGCCGCCACGGGTGCTGGGGGGAGGTGGGCAGCAGCTCCCCAGAAATGGCCGGCATGTCCCTGCAGCTCCTAGTGGGAGGGAGGGCCGAGGGGCTCCAGGTGCTGCCCCCACCATGAGCGCCGGAACCACAGCCAATGAGAGCTTCAGGGGCAATGCCTGCAGGCAGGAGCAGCACGCAGAGCCTCCTGGTCCCTCCACCTAGGAGGTGCAGGGACATACCAGCCGCTTTCTGGGAGCCCTCCAAGGTAAGCGCTGTCCCGCACCCCAACCCACTGCCCCAGCCCCGAGCACCTTCCCACACCCAAACTGCTGCTGCTGAACCAGCTGCTGCAGAAGTCATGGAAGTCATGGAAAAAGTCACGGAATCTGTGACTTCCGTGACCTCCGTGACAGACACACAATGAATGTGATGCCAGTCATCTAACCAGAAGAGCAGACCAGTAATATTTTTCAAAGGCAATGCCGTGAGTTGGCAGCAGATTTCCTACAACAGATGGTCATCGTCACCTGTGCATTAAACATCATTCTTATATTCCTCAGCTCTACTTGCTTTGGATCATGCATATACCATGGTGATGGATGCCATATAATAATAACCCAGATAGATAGATGTACAGTTAAGCAAGAAAAAGAAAATCACTCTTATATTTCGGGTGCCTGCCGTGGCTTTCTCCACAGAAGCATAGAGATCTATGTTTGTGGGAAAGCTGGAGGAATGGTAAGGTGTGGTCAGTGAAATTGTGAACTGCCAAGAATTACTGGACTATAACCCCAATGGGAGGTGCAATATCTGCTACAACATTATATAAATAAATAGACTATGCTGAGATGCTTCATTCCCTGCCTCTGGAATGAGAAAGTGACTTTCATTCCCCTTCTACTTGGGCTTTGCACAGAGGACTGGAATTTCACCCATAGTGTGAGATATTTCAGGAAAATAAATCTACCCTTTTCGTAGTTGAGGGATTTTTGAAGCTTGCATAACTACACTAGTGGTTTTGTTAATGTTTATATGTATATACAGAAAGTTTTCTAAAGAGTGAGGTAGTTGCCTGCTGTTTTAACAACAAAGTTAATTTATTTATGCAAATATATGAGGTTTCCTATTTTTAAAGGCAACAATGTTTTTTGCTTTTAGCATTAGATAATACATTGCAAAATAATTTTATTTCCCAAGTTAAACAGTATATACTCTTCTGAAAGCACCCAAATCTAGCATTACAGTTTCCATAGATGAAAATAATCCACTAGAAGCTAGAATCAAGGATATTTCTTGTGTTTGAAGATTCATGTAACTTTTTCATCAGAAAAGAATAAATATTTGTGTTAAACCTTTAAAATAAAAGGGGATATAAATTAGTGTAGTGCTCCTTTTCTAATGAGTACACATCTTTCTGTCCAACAAGCAGGTATGTCTTAGGTACAGGCCCCTGGAAACGAAGATTGATTAGAAAACTGAGTTCAAGTTTCATTCAGGAGAAAGGGTCACTGTACAATAAGTGTCAATTTTAAATATGTTTTAATACTTAATATGCATGAATACATGTATAACATGATTATTTGCAATTAATACACCCCAACAGTGTTTAGAAGACACCTAGAAAGCATCTTAGATGCATCTTATTTTCCTCCATTTTTAAAATCTGAATAGCACCTGTAATTAAGGGAGAAAACTGAGCCCTGGAAGCTAGGTAGGACTTCCATCTATTGATCTGTGTAAACCCAGCTTACACTGTCAGGGGAGAAGCAGTCAACTGCTGAGCTGCTTTGTCACTGACATAAGCTGAGAGAGGATTTTTTTGTCTATACTGTTTATACACCAGTCTATAGACCTGCTGGCTGGTTGAATTTTAAAGAGTGCGGGGGTTTAAAGACTTGTCCCCTGAGGGATGCTCCTGCCAGTTGGGAAGCGAGCTGAGGCTGTGTTTTGCAGAAGTTGTGTGTGTATGTATGTGCCGGTCGGAGTGGGGGAGGGGTGGGAGGCAGAGCAATGGGAAAGTACTGTAGTTCATCTGAGTCTCAAAAATGTTGCAAAATGTACTTTATGTTCTGTTAATATTTTTCTTTTGTTTCCTTCCTTGTGCAGTAATTTATTTTTTTTAAAAAAAGCTCCAGTGGGAAACTTAGATGAATATTGGAAATACATTTCCCTCCCTATTTTAAATCAGTCCTATAGTCACCAAGCAGCAATTAATATTGTTGATAGTAAGACAAAAATGATGTTTTAAACTAAGATGTATATTAAAAGTGAAAATGGTTGAAGGTGGCAGGGTACCTGTGTTGAGCTTTATTACCTGAAGACCCAAAATTTAAAAATGAAATTATTTCTTTGAAAGAAGAAAATTAAAATTTTGTGAGCCTGAAAGAATGATTTATTTGAAAATTAATACGTTAGAAGTTTGGACTGTTTTTTCTTTAGTTTGTGTTTTTTGGTTTTGTTTTATTGCTTGTTTTCTACTTTGTGTGTTTGTGTGTGTATGTTTTATTCCCTGCAATTTCCACATTGGCCCTTCCCTGCCAGCCAAAACTGAGACTGAACAGCAGTCTCTTTGGAGAATATTATATGTGCTACTACATAGAAAGAGATTTTCCATAATCAAGAGAATTAGTATCCTTCCCCAAAACACAGCATATTACTTTCATCCCATTCTTTATCTCTGTTATCACACACAGTGAGAGTCCCAAAGCTGCTCCAGAACTCAGGAATAATAGGCTTTCTCATTCTTACTGTATGTACTAATGTAGTGGTCTACCAGGACACACACTATATCCTTGAAAAAAGCTGTAAACATTTCATTCATGCAATGTTTACAGAGTTATGAAATATACAGACCTTGCTGGTTAATATATTAATATTTTTCCATGTGTGTTTTACACTGTGTAAAACCAGGCAAATACTTAAGGTAAGGTACGCATTCAGTGCAGTGCACAGGAATTTAACTGCATGACTTTCAGTATATGGTAGTTGCTGTCCCATCCTGCAAAGTGCTCAGCATTCTTTCACTTGAGTGAGTTTTGAGGGTTCGCAGCACCTCGCAGGATCAAGCACCTAAATCCCCACCCTTGGCACTGGAAGTTTGGAACCTGCACACTCAATCCTGCAAACACTCACTTAGTGGGATGACTGATATGGGTACCTTTATGCACATAAGTGCTTGCAGGTTTGGTATAGTAAGCAAGTGTTGCACGTCACTGACCCAACTACATTTCATCATCAACAACCTTCCTCCTACATTTAAACATTTCACAGAGGACTTGTTTTCCCAACTGGTTTGCTGGAAGCAAGAAAATAAATACAGTAAGATCAGTGTTATACATTTATTCAGATTTGCTGACAGCTGATCTGTTAGCTCTGATTTTTCTAGAGAGAGGTCTTGTACTTCTTAAAAACATTAGGACGTTTTTATATTTTAATTAACACATTTTATTTGCCACTAAACAGCTTCTTAAATAAAAATGTGCAGAAAAGAAACACAGTATCCATTACATGATGGTCTGAACACTGCAGGAATGGTCTTACTTTTAATTAATTAATAATGAGGTTTGCTTGTGAATGCCTTACTGCTCTACTGAAGAGATAACCATATAAATTTCTTCTTTGTACCAACAGAAGATTTTCATCTTTTTCAGCATTTGACTATGAAACACATATAGAGTTGTTATACCTCTCAGTAATTCATTCTGCTGCCAACTTCATTCCCTTTTCTCTGCCTGCATTTTAATTGAAACAACATTTGTATTTTTGAGCCAGGATCTGTCAGAAGTCCCTGTGGCTAGTCTGTGGTACAAGTAGCAGCAGACGTGGCTTACCCATATGGTGCAGTGCTTCTTGTAAAATCCATATGGCCTTGTTGAAGGGAATCCCAGCGGGGATGTGAAGGGTGTTAATACCCTTCAGGCCAGGCCTTTCCCTCCTGGGGCTTCTATGGCATTGTCTTTGCAATCTGCCAAAGCACAAACTTAATTCCTTTTTAATAATCAATTATTTCAGTCCAGGAACGTGTGCTATATTTCTTGCAACCAAATATTTCTTTAAAATGGTTTTTCTAGCAAACAGTATAGCAGAAATACTTAAATAAACTGTCATTTTAAAATCCTAATGTTATTTCTTTAATCTGTATTTACAGGAGGTGCTGCAGAGTGTGCCGAAGTTCTGCTTTCCTTTTGACATTGAAAGGTTTGTGGTACAGTGATCATTTATTTAAAAATATTTAACTCAATGTATTCTAAATTATATATCTGTTTACTGAAAATGAAAATAACTTTTTGAAAGTCTAGACTTGAAGAAATAAGAACAAAATAAAATGTATTTCATCCTCTGGTCTTGCACCTGGAGGTGAAAAGAATAAACACTAAACATTTTTTCCTTTGTTCTCCAAGTATGTATTTAGGTACTAGTAGAAAAACATTACAGTATAATACACCCTTGCTAGGATTTTAAGAATTCTCTTTTGATATAGAGCTGTATCCTGGCTCCCAACTTCCTCCAGCCCAATTGTAAACACCATCTGTGTACTATAAAGATACAAGATAGTTAGTTTCCTCCCAATATCAGCTTTAAAGCAATGGTGCAATATACCAGAATATAAAAACTCACTGTGCAGTTTTAAAAATAACCCACAGTTTGTGTTTCACCTTATATAAGAATTAAAAGAACTTAAATTACATGCCAGTAACTGAATGTGCACAGGCAGCAATGGATTTTTCTGAGGGTAGATTCAAGACCTTTGTTTGTAAATGGTATTTCACCTTCCTGATATCAGTTTTAGTGTGGCTTCCGCATATCAGTTGCTACTCATTTCAAATGTTCATACAAGATATTTTTATAAGCTCCAAATATTTATTTTACTTCATCAAAATGTTTGATAATGAGTTTAATGATTATTAATTTAATCAATTGTGTAGATTTGTAGTTCGGGAAATCTTCACATTGTGTCTGTCCGTGAGTCAGTTGATATTGTGTTACTGGTAGAAGCTTGGTTTGTACAATTAATGAATGTGCACCCAGCTAGCCTTCAGATCTCGCTGGTCTCAATGGTATTAGCATCAGTTGCATGACAGGATTCGAGGAGAAAGGCCCCCAAAGATGTTACAATTTAGGAAACAGAAGACAGAAAAACTAATGCATATATGGGAGTGAAGAAGGGCTTGGAAGAGAAGCCAGGTGCAACATAGAACCTTACAAATACATGTTATCTGATAGTCAACTTGGTCACCTAACCTCTTAGATGTTGCGCTTCAGTTGAGTTGTTTGGCTTTTGAACTGGTTAAACATATAATCCCCTTATACAAGTTTTATGACTCAGCCAACACTGTTGATAATGTTTTGTATTCGTGCATTAAAGCCTTTACATTCTTGTGCTTACAATATGTACTGGCTCTATGAGCTAAGATCAAGTGTAAGTAGTCTCTTGGTCTATCAAAGGTCGTGATCAAGTGTCTTGATGTTTTTGGTCTTTTGGCCTCGAGATGAAAACCTTGTCTGTGTCTCTCGGACCTTGAAGTGAAAAAATTATCTAAGTTATATCTGTTTCAAGTTGATAGTGAAGGAGCAGCATGGAAATCAAATTTGATGATGACAGAAGCAGGTGAGGTTCTGTTGCTGCCATCCAGTGGCACAAACTTAGTCAGTAGCAGTAGATAAATGATTTCTACAAATTGCTGTGTGTGATTGTTAGCTATTAACAGGCAAAGCAATGTCTGTAGTTTAGGTTACCTAGCATTTCCATTTTAAAGGCTGTTTTTCAGTTTACTGTTTTCTCAAAGTTTTACCTGTTGGGCTGAGATTTGGTAGGTGTGCTCTGTGCAGGAGTGAGGAAAAGAAGCATTTATTTTTGCTAAGAAAATTCTGTTGTAAACTGTTTTTTTTAAATGGCTGTAGTGCCCAAATACAAGATAATGGAAATTTGAAATTTGGCAGGGACATATTCCCTAGGTCATAGATGTGCCAGTCATTGGTTTGGTGGATTTAATTTGGACCAGTTATAAAGATTTAAAATGTTCATTTTGTGCATGTATGCTGGTTTATTCTAATCATAAAACTAAGGAACTCCCAAACTTTCTTCTGACAATGTACACACATGATTATCTAAACCTCGTAAAAATTTTCATTGAAAAGGTGACCTCTCAGAGTGCCATTGGTGTGCTTTTTTGTGTATATAACAAAGTAGAATGGAATCCCAGGCTTTATAGTTAGAGCATTCTGGAAAACAGTCCTCGAAGGAGTATATCAAAGGAGGCATAGCTCTGAAGGTTTCCTGCCGTTATACATATAATATAGAAAGGTACGAATAAAATGAGACAAGAGCTCTTGTCTCATTGATTCTCCATATTGTACATTATAGAGTTCTGTGACTTTCTAGTATGATATGATGGAATTTCATTCTTTCTTCTTTCTTTATTTTTTAAAAAAATGGAAATTCCATAAAAAAGTAGATTAGTAATTTTTAAAGTTACAAAGGTAAGCTCTCTGAAGTCTGGAAATGACAAGGTACCCTGCACATCCTACATGTTATGATGAAGTCTTAATTGTGTGATCACATATTACATCTTTCCACAGGACACCTTCCTAATTCTGTGCACAAACTGGACAGTGAATGAGGCAAGGCTATGTAGTGAATTGGGCTGGGTCCAGAACATCTTGCCTTATTCACCATACTAGTTGTATGATTTGTCACAAATGAGATAAGAGCCTTGAAGAAAGGGAAGATAAAGGTAGTAGTCTGGGATCTATCAGATGTGGGTTCTATTTCTGCCTCTGCCACAGGTTTCCTGTATGATCTTGAACTTACTCTTTGTTCCTCAGTTTGGGATTTGTAAAATGGTGATAATATTTGTCAGCCTGTTAGTAGTGATGTGAAGATAAATTATTCAAGGTGTGTGAGGCTCTCAGATACTTGATGAAAACCCTGGGAAAGCCTATAAAAGGCTGAGTGCTGCAACCTTAATGTTCTTTTGCTGTAACATTTTTGTATTTACTATTTAATGTTGTTTTCCTGGACAGAAACTCCACATTGTAAACTTTTACATACTGACCTAGTCACCTCAAAGAAAGGTCACTGTTTTGAAGATGTTTTGTTTTGAGAGCATCCCATGAACTTTTACTGTGTAGGCCAGTGTAACTAAGTGTGCCTCAGAGATGCTAGTCTTGAGGGAAGAAGGTGATAGAAGACTACTTTTTTGAGCCAGTGGCAGTAGCTTCCCACAGAAAGATTTGATACCTCCTTCCTGAGCCCAGGAGAAGGGTAAACACAGGGCTGTTGCTAAGGTCTCCCACTCACCCACGTAGGCAGAAGCAGGAAATAGAGCTTTCGGATTCAGCACGCCCAGTAGGTGGAGTTAGGGAATTTCTAAACACGTTTGCAGATGTTGCATTTTGCTTGGTCACTAGCATTGGGAATTCCATGGCTCAGATAACAAAAGGAGTTCGTGTAGATGCATGAAATCTCTCATTTGTGTATGTCATGTGCCAATCATGAGTGCATTGTCGGATCTGTTTTCCAGCACTGCATGCATACACCAGATTGTTGTTATCCAGTTGCTCAAAAGTGCTGGACAGTTGCCTTTGGGCCAAATCCTACACCTAGTACACAGCTTCTGGATACCCCAGACTTCGAGGGAAGATCTGTGTGGAGGGAGGGGCGTGGGTGCAGAGTCTTCATCAGGTCACTAAGCATCAGTAGGGCAACTCTGCAGCAGCTTGAGGCTGCAGTAGCCCCAGGTACTCTTACTTCCAACTCTTGCAGGGTTGAGGAATGGCCAGTGGATAACTGTAGTTAGGGACCCAGTGCCCTTGCCCGGCTATTTCATCACCTCACTATGTAAAATTTCTGTGTGCTGGGGCTGGTTACGTGGTCCAGAATCTGTCTCCCTTCACTTTGCAGTGGAACTGTATCAAATCTACTACAGCCAGGGTCTTCTGATAATGTAAGCTTTGTCTCTTTAATTGATTTGTTTTTGTATAGAATGCTCTTTTGGGATGAAAACTTAAAAAAACCCAACCAAAACCACAAACACATAAGTAAGGGTAGGGGAAGCAGGGCAGATGTGGTAAATACTTAACACATTATTCCTTCTAATTTTCAAAAGTAAATAATATGAATGGAGGCTAAAAATCTGTGATCAATACTTAATGTAGCCACTGTACAATAAATAAAGACTGAAAAGCAAACCAAAGGAAGACGCAGCTGTATAAAGTGCACATCAGGATTTTAGTTTTTAATTTCAATTTCTGTACTATTGGTTTAACTCAGACCCTGAATTTCATTAGTGATGATTGTGGTTGATTTTTTTTAAGGGAAAAAGTCAACCCATACATATAAGTTCTTATGAGTTTACTCAGTTGGCGCTAGGAGTTCTAGGTCTGGTGTGTAAATAAATAATTTCAGACTTTAATAAATGACACTCAGTTGTATAATAGTTGTAATAGCTCCTTTGGTACCATTAATGGGTGGCTAATTTCACTTCTGTTTATCATGGGGATTCCCTTCTCCTCTCCTTTTCATATGGGGCGGAGGGATTCCACCATTCAGGGTACAGGGTGTTTCTGCATTTCTTTTGTATTGTTTGCCAAAACAACTCTAACACAACTTCTTCCTTCCTTCCTCAACCAAATTAAACTAATCAGTTCTGTTTCTCCTCCTTCTCCATGTCTTCGTGTTCTTTGCCTGTAACTGGTGTCTGTCTCTGTCTGTCTGTCCTATTTCTTCAGGGGCCTCACATTCCCCATTTTCTCTGTCAACCTGTGTTCATCATGGTTATCCTCCCTCCAGCCAAAGAGTCTCAGCTGTGGCTCCCTATAGAGTCCATGACTGCAGATCCCTTTAATTGGTCAGAGGGTCACTAAAGTGCCATGCAAGCTGTGGCTTCTCTCCTGTGGCTGCCTTCATGGTATTTGTTGCCCAGGGTGTGAAGGATCAAATTCAGTCCCAAACTGCAATATGTAACCCCTAGACTACTCAGTCCTCTTTCTGCTTTGAATCTCGTCTCCTTTCATTTGTCTCTGCCCTCTAATCCTTTCTTCCTACCTTCTGTTTATCTCTTTTTTTTCCCCTTCAGCTTGTGATCCTTCTGCAGAGCAGTTCCCAGAAGAAGAGAGTACAGTAAATGTGCGCTTGCAGGTAGCACATTCCCAGAAGTATCACAAAGAGTATTGAAGTGACACTGATATACCTCATTAATTTCACCTGCTGCTCTTGCTGTGTCACTTGGGAAGCATTATGTGCCGGAGTCCTACTACCCCTGCTGGTACATGAGGAGAAGGAAGAAATCTAGCAATGGAGGATCACTCGTATGCTTTTGGATCACACTTGGGCTCCTGTGCATAGCATTTCCCCAGTGACCAAGTAGGATCAACAAGTGAAAATGGTGGGGACGATGTCACTTTCACTCTGCTGCTCTTGGTTGATGCTGTTTTTGTTGATGTGTCTAGGGGAATTGCTAGGTGCAGAAGCCCAGGTGTGATCTAAAAGTCTAAAAGCATGGTAGTCAGTGGATGAGGGAGGTCACTGGATCTACAGTCCTCACCAAAGTACCTGTGTATTTTATCACATACAGAAAGCTTTGCTTTAGAAGTAAGTAAGGAAAGTGCATTTTCAGTCCAGGCCAACACTGAAAATAAAGGAAATGTAGAGTTAAAGTGATTCCACTATATACAGCATCCCCTCTATACTTCACTCATCCCAGATCAATGTACAATCTTAGCTGTGACCATAATATATAGTAGTTAGCTAGTCTGTTACTGCATACTTTATTACTAAAGACAATGTTTATTAAAGATTCAGTCCATATTTGCTTATACATACACCTCTACCTTGATATAACGCTGTCCTCGGGAGCCAAAAAATCTTACCGCATTATAGGTGAAATCACGTTATACTGAACTTGCTTTGATCCGGAGTGTGCAGCCCCACCTGCCCGGAGCACTGCTTTACCACGTTATATCTGAATTCATGTTATATTGGGTCGCATTATGTCGCGGTAGAGGTGTAGATAATCTTTGTTGGAATGGAAGATTATATAAGTTTTCTGGGATATGGAAAAGAAATGTTAGCTTGTTGTTGAATCCTTGTGTTGTATAAGGTATGTATTCTATATATCTATTGAAAATGGCTATTCTGTTACATTTTGTGTTAAGATTTTTTTGGTCAAGTAACTAATTTGGTCAAGGAAAGGTTAGAATTAAGGTTGTGATCCAAATGGGTCATTTAGTTATTTTGTGCACACTGCACATAAAGATGTGGATAAATTATCAAATGAATGATGGAATCACCTTATCCTGTTCAATTTGGTTTCTTTCAGTTTTTATGTTGATTGAAAAATACATTTTAGCAACCTTAACTCTGTTAACTATTTTTTTTAATGTGGGAGTTTCCTAGTTTGGGGACTTTTTATAATTTGAGCTGTTTAAATCTTTCTTTGCTTTAAGGCTGCTGCCTGTTTCTGTTGGAGGCATAAGAGATCAGGGAAGCTGGAAAACAGCTACTCGAAGTTGGCTGGAGCTAGAATCAAATCTGAGTGCTAGAGCTATAGAATATGGATTGGAACTGGGGAGGCAGGACTGGGCCTGGATTCGGAGTCATGGAAAGGAATTAGTTGGGGACTGAGGACCCAAAGCTGGAGATTGTCAGAGGTCCTTATTTCACCATTCATCAACCTGTTTCTAGCCTCGTCTTCCAAACCTCCAGGTCTTAACCCAGGCTCCAGAATGCACCCCTACTATGTACTCTGAGTTAGAACAGCTCCTTGAGTGTCTGGGGAAATTGGCCTTGCTTACAGTTCATCCAGATAAAGTTCTAAACACAAAAATCTTTCAGCACTTAAGTGTTTCAGAACCTAACTGGCTGAGCTGTAATCAGAATAGTGCCATAGCCATCAGTTTTCCTTCACATAAATAGACACGGTTAGGATGAATAATGCTATTATATTTTATATCACATTTCTTTAAAATATATCCTCAAACCCTAGCCCAAGTATGAAAATTTGTTTAACTGTAACATAAGGATATTTAAAAGAACTCCCTATCTACTATATAATCCAAAGAGCTGTTTCATTATTATGTAAAAATGGATGTAGACAATTTTAAAAACTTGATTTATTTATTTGATAGATTATAGTGACCCTGAAAGAGCCCTTTGTAGTCTGCAGAGTTAATAGGTGTTTATACACATTCTTCATTATTTAATGATTTATTACTGTTAAACTAAAATTATATATAAGCATGCATTGCAGGAGTTGCATATAAAAAAGAAGGCAGAAAAGAGGAATGAGTGAGTGAGTAAAAGGTCAGTAACAGAATATGTAACAATTTGCATCTGTTCATTTTACTCAAGAAGAGTGAACTACATTCAGTTAAAATTATCTGCTTTTGACCAACACTTTGCAAAATATTTTTTCAACCAGAGCTAGACCAATTAATTCTGTGCTCTATAATGAAATGTGCAACTATATGTAATAATTTATATGTCACAACGATCTGAGGGGAATTTTCACCATGAGGAAAGCTTGCAGCAGCCATCTTTCTTGTTCTCTGGTAATTGCAGAAAGGACTGTTAAGTATTTCTGTAAGAGAGACCTGGGTCCAAAGAAGCTGAATATATTAAACTAATTGGATTTAAATGACATCACTCAAAATCACTTTAATCAGAGAATTTATCACAGCATAACGTATACAGTAGGTACATGAATTAGAAGTGTCAACATTTGTTTGTATGGTAACATCTGCTGAATTTTCATAAATTTTTACAATATATGGTTAGGTTGAATTATTATTTATATTCAGAAGACTCCTATCACCATAGTATCTCAGAATTTTGTTATGAGGTTTGAATTGGATCACCCTGTGTTCTAAATAAGAGGAGAAAACTCCAAGCTCTCCTTAGTCAGATAGGAACCCAGGAATTAATACTATAGATTAGGCTTCGCTCCTCAATCTGATCCAGGTTGGGGGACACTTGTGTCTGTGTGCAGCCGCACAGAAGCAAATAGAGCCCCACATAGGCTTGAAGGTTTGCTTGCACAGTTTTGATTGCAGAATCAGAGGCTTCATCATTTGGGGAAGGATGGATGAAGAGGTCTGTACTTCTTGCACTTGTTTTCTGAATGTGCTAGGTTTGTGTGTAAGTGTTTTTCTTTGGGAAGCAATTTCCAGAGATAGTGGCCCACTACTGAGAATGTCTTATCTCCAGCATAAAGCTCTGTTGGCTCAGACAAGTGTAGACAAGTGGATCAAAGATGCTGAGGTGGTCCTTTAATGTAACCTCTTACTGAAACAGTACATTAGAAACACATATAGCTATGGATAGAAGGAGAAATTATTAATTTTATTTATTTGTATTGCTATATTGCCTAGTGGCTGCAACCCCACTGTGCTAGGCATTCTATACACATACAACAAAAAGACAATTTCTTCCCCAAAATGATTCAATTTGAAGTATAAGACTTTGGACAATAGGATACAACAAGCAAATAGGGAAAGCAAAGGTAAGTGAGATGATTATGCTAAATATGCTGTGATCAGTGTGTAACTACAGACCAGCCATTTCTGTGTGAATTATGGGTATCAACGCAGCTGTGAGTTCAGGGAGAGATTTGAAAGAAGATATTCTGGTGCAGATTTTTATAGGGACATCCTCTGATGCAAAGGGGCAAGGTGTAGGAGAAAGCACAGAGGTGTTCACTGGAAAATTTAACTGATAGGCAATGCAGGTTGATGATGTTGACAGAGCAGAGACGGGTTGACAGCTATATACCATATTAGAGGTTCTAAGCTGTGAAAAAGGCCCTTGAAAGTAAAGACAAGTTGTTGATTTATTTACTCGCATACTCAAATAGGGCTCATGTTTCAGTACAGCCAATTTATGTGCAGATAGGTCCTAATTCAGTTGGTCCTTTGGAGGACCAATTTGTTATGAATGCCAAACCTGACATGTTGTTGCTTGTTCTATATGGTTTTTTATATGGCCTCGGTGCTGTAGAATCTGAGTACCTTCAGATTAAACAATGTGACTAACATTCATTGAATGTAGTTCATTCTTTCTTTCATCTTCTCCACAAGCAGAGAATTGTGTGTGCAGTGTAGTGCCCCCTCCCCGCCTTAAATGTGCATCTGCTCTGTGTTTATATGACAGAAGGCAGGTTAAATAAGTGTGTCTTGCACTTGGAGTGGAAGGTGGGAAAGCTTGTAATGGTCCTTTGTTCTTGTGGGAGTTCATTCCATAGTCTCAGACAGGCCCCTGAGAGGGAACAAACCACATGTGATAGATGTTATTCATTGAATGCAGTGTTATTTTAGCCATGTCAGTCCCAGGATATTAGAGAGACAAGGTGAGTCAGGTAATATCTTTTGTTGGACCAACTCTGAGTACGTTTCCCAGACCTGAAGAAGCTCGAAAGCTTGTGTCTCTCACCAACAGAAGTTGGTCCAATAAAATATATTACCTCACCCACCTTGTCTCTCTAAGATGTTACTTGTGTTACTTAAAGGAATAGATTGGGACAAGGAGCCTTGGATGGGTGTGGGGCTGACAGGAATGGGAACCTGGGGTGGAGACTGGGACTTGCTGGGCAAGAAGACTTGGACAAGGACTTTCGGGGTGAGAGAAATGAGAAGCTTGGGGAGGGTTACTGCTGTGCAACCTTAACTCGGCCTCCTTGTGTGTATGCATTATGATACCGTCTTTAAATCAGTTATCTCACACTATTTTTTTCACAGGCACTTAGTGACTTTTGAGTGCTTGACTTTGCAATCCTAACATTACTTTAACATGTGTGTGTGTGTATTTGTAATAAATTAGAAAGTGCTGTCTCCTGCACAGACAAGCTTTACCCTTGTGGTAGAATGTTCCACTGTGCCTGAGGTGTGGCATGGTGGATCAGTCCTCATCTTGGAGTGTTATGTGATCTTTTAGGTATCCCAGACCTAAGCCATTGAGCACCTTGAAGATTAGGATCAAAACTTGCTTACTTTTGATTACAGGATTTGTGAGAACTTATCATTGTGTTGTCATTTTTCATAGTTTAAAATACTGTTTTTTCCTAGAAAAAGTGTTGTCCATGCTGCTAACTGAATTAGATATTTGTAAAATTTTAAAACTGTTTTTTCCCCAGTGTACTGTCATATATGATTTAGCCATTTTACAATCTGTTTTTATTTTTTTTAGGGTGTCCCAAAATCAAGTAGGACAGCACTTTACCTTTGTGCTTACAGACATTGAAAGTAAGCAAAAGTTTGGATTTTGCCGGTTAACATCAGGAGGCAAAATCTGCCTCTGTATTGTAAGGTGAGTGAGTATAAGAAAAACTGGAGTTTCTTACTCCATGGACTTGTTATTTTTAGGGTTATATTTTGTTGTGCTTTAAAATGCATAGAGACTTTTTTAATAGATCAAAAATCTTCTGAATGATGATGTATACTCACATACCAGTGTGTTTCCTTTGTCCATAATAATATTAACAATTAATTTTTGACAAAGGAATAAGTTAAATGATTTTTATAAAATTGAACCTAGGGATAAAATAAATATTCCTACATAAATAATAGGAAAGATCTGCTTTAAAGAGATATTTGAGAATATTATGTAGCTTTTCTGGCTTGAAATGTTACGTGTGCTAATATTTTTTTTAATGAAACAATTGATACAGATGTTTCAAGTAGTTCAATATTGTTACTAGTTGTATTAATTCTGATGTGATATTCCAGAGCTAATCAGTTGGAATTCTTGAGTCCTGAAGATCATTGCATCACAGCAACATTTCTATCTGTGTTCCTTTGTGCATGCATAATTTTCACCAAAAAAAAAAAGTTAAAATATCAAACGTTTTGTCGATCAAAACATTTTGAAAAATTTTGATTCAGAAATAACAAAACATTTTGTTTCAGCATTTTCAATTAAAAACATTTTGATATTCCTGAATCAAAATGTTTTAATTTGATTTGTTGTACTGACCTGAGATGTGCCCTTTCATGTTAGTTTGACGTTAAATTGCATTTCCGTGTGGTGGTGTATCGTCTTCTGGGCTGTGTAGTTTGGGTGCCTGATGCCGCCATTCTCTCCTGTGGTCTGAGCTCCTTGGCTTGACTACACCTGGTATAAGGCACCTGCAGATAGGTGATTCTTATGATGCACCATGCTACTTGGTTAGAGGAGAGACTGCATTGCATCATAGGAGATGTAGTTCTTGTACCAAATATTTCAAACTGACCAACGCTAAATATTTTGTTTTGGTTTTCCTTATGGAAAATAAAAACAAAAAGGCCAGTCAAAATTTTTTCATGGGTAATTTTAATTTTACAGAAACTTCATTTTCCATTGAAAAATCATTCTGACTGAAAATTCCTGACAAGTTTTATCTAGCAGCTCTAAAGCTGACAAAACCTAGAGAACAAGAATGCAGCAAACTACTTAATTAAAATTTGAGCAAAACAAACATCTTCCACTTTAAAAAGGAGCCTGGCTGCTTGTAAAACCAACTAGGAAAAAACTGGAGGAACCAGTCTAGCTGCAGTGTAAGACAAGGACAGGAAATAGAAGGCTCTCAAAATGGGAGGCAGCCGCAGTACTGGAGCCATTAACCACAGACAAATGGGAAAGGAGCCAGGAGCTGCCAGTGGGGGAAGAGTATCCTGAAGAACAGTGGGGAAGAAGGTGGATAGCCTGTGAAGAGCTGTGAAGAGTTGGGAAGTAGAGGATCAGAAGCTGGACAGCTCATCTAGAGCAGTGCTTTTCAAACTTTTTTTCTGGGGACCCAGTTGAAGAACATTGTTGATGCCCACAACCTAATGGAGCTGGGGATGAGGGGTTTGGGGTGTGGGAGGGGCTCAGGGCTGGGGCAGAGGGTTAGGGTGCGGGGGTGAGGGCTATGGGAGGGGGCCCAGGAATGAGGGGTTCAGGGTGTGGGAGGGGGCTCAGGGCTGGGGCAGCGGGTTGGGGTGTGACAGGGGGTCAGGGCTCTGGGCTGGGGGTGCAGGCTCTGGGGTGGGGCTGGGGATGAGGGGTTTGGGGTGCAGGAAGGGGTTCCATGTTTGTGTGTGGGCTCAGGGCTGCAGTAGGGGATTGGGGCACAGGGTTGGGGCACGGACTTACCTCTGGTGTCTCCTGGTCAGTGGAGCAGCCGGGGTGCAGAGGCAGATTTCCCGGCTGTCCTGGCACCGTGGACCGCGCTGCACCCTGGAAACGGCCAGCAGCAGGTCCAGCTCCTAGGCAGAGACGCGCAAGTGGTTTCACGCAACTCTTGCCCTCAGGCACTGCCCCCCGCTCCCATTGGCCGGTAGCCGGCCAATGGGAGTGCAGAGCCGTGCTTAGGGTGGGGGCAGCGCGCGGGACCCCGTGGCTTCCCTGCCTAGAAGCCGGACCCGCTGCTGGCCGCTTCCGAGGCACAGCGCAGTGTCGGAGCAGGTAGGCACTCGCCTGCCTTAGCTGGGCAGCACCGCCAACGGGACTTTTAACAACCTGGTTGGCGGTGCTGACCAGAGCAAGGCGACCCAGTGCCTGAAATGCTGCGACCCAGTACTGGGTCTCGACCCATGATATGAAAAACACTGGTCTAGAACTGCTGGTGAAGGGCATCAGGAGGTTAGGTGACATGTGCTAGGGAAAAGGCCTAGCACTGTGTATAGGGGAGATGGGCATAAGTAGGCTGGATACAAAGGGAGAAAGGGAACTGGCAGCAGAGAAGTTTGTAGAAAGAGCATTTTTGTTGTTGCTGAAAATGCCCAGTCAAATCTTTACTAGGATATTCAGCAGCCTCTAATGTAATGACATTGCCTTGCAGGCAGGGTTTTTGGAGTGATTAAAAAAATCAATATATTAATGAGAAACTGTCTGGTGTTCACTTTTTGCTTTGTCCAAATTAGTGAATAAGGAACTGGGTATGAATGTGGAAGTCTGTATTTTCTCATGTATATTAATTGGCTTTCTTATAGTAATGATGATAACTATTTAATAAAAACACTTGAAAAATACATCCATCTTGGCTTTTGTGGAGCATGAGGATACTGAACCATTTTCTTTGTTATACCTTTTGCTGGTATGTCTTGTTTAGGCTCAGGGAAAATTTATTCCTGTGCTTTAGCTCAGTGGTTCTCAACCAGGGGTACATGTATCCCTGGGGTACATAGAGGTCTTCCAGGGGGTACATCAGCTCATCTAGATATTTGCCTAGTTGTACAACAGGCTGCATAAAAAGCACTAGCGAAGTCAGTACAAACTAAAATTGCATACAGACAATGACTTGTTTATACTGCTCTATATACTATATACTGAAATGTAAGTACAATATTTATATTCCAGTTGATTTATTTGATAATTATATGGTAAAAATGAGAAAGCAATTTTTCAGTACTAGTGTGCTGCGATATTTCTGTATTTTATGTCTGATTTTGTAAGCAAATAGTTTTTAAGTGAGGTGTAACTTGGGGGTACCGCAAGACAAATCAGACTTCTGAAAGGGGTACAGTAGTCTGGAAAGACTGAGAATGACTACTTTAGCTCACTCCCTTTGCTCACAACCCTGCCTTTCCACATCAGACAAAGAAATAACATTTTCTACTTGTTCTTCTAACTTTGTCTGACTTATCTCTAATGTTATAACAATAAATGCTTCATCAGTTCCACACACCCAAGTGCTAATGGTAAAATACTGTAAGTGACAGTCTTTCTGTCTACTTAAAAAAAAGTATTGGAGCCAGATCCTACGCTGGTATGAATTGGCATAGCTCTACTGTAGTCAGTGGAACCTACGTGGATATACATCAGCTGAGGATCTGGCTGATGGTCTGCTACTTTGTAGAAATAACTAATGAAATGAAAAGTGGCAAGCTATAATTTTTCACTGCATCATAATGAAAACATTGCCTTTATTGCTTCTGTTGTGACAATTTCAAATTTACCATGCAATGCTGAATGCATAGTTGTACCAGTTTTTATAAAACTGTACTTCTGGATTGGTAAAATATTAATCTTTAACTCGAGGGGGAGGGTGTGGGAAAAAATCGTTAACTCTGAGTACAAGGAAAACTTTTCAGGAGTAGAATGCTGCCAAAAAGATCATGCTGTTACTTTGTAACACATTAAATCTTTATCTCGAACAGGATGAGTATTGTTTTTCCATTGTTTTCTTTGTACAAATGGAGTACAATATAAAAGCATCAAGTACTGTAAGGTGATTGTATTAAGTAGTCTTTAATACCGAAAATGTGCAGTTCACAAATATGAGATTTCATTTTCTTTAGCAGCTGACTGTATGAGATTGCATTGAAACTTTGCTGATAGAATGTATGTGTCTGTATTTCCGATAGATACATATTCGGATCCAATGTGGTCTGTACTGTGCATCCGAAATTCATTAGCAGTGAGCAAATGTGTTAGTATTCACACACAGAATTGTGCTAGAATTGCATCTGAGTATCCCCAGTGTATGCGTTTTTTATTTTAAAGATTGACCACATACAAAGAAAATCTTAAATTGATGCATGTTCTTGTACAAAAGGTTAATTTTTGATTGCAAGAACATTACCTGTTACTTTAAGGATTGCTTAAGATTGTTTCCTGTAGCTTTAATAAAGGCAAATTGGGGGAAGGTCGAGGGTTAGAAGATGGAGAGAGCCCCATTTAGGAAACTGAAATGGTAACTGTGATGGGTTCCCCCCAGGATGCCACTTGGAACAGGGATACTGAGCCCACCTGGCCCACCAGCCTGGGTTCCCTTTACACTGTACTGCTGTGCATTCTGCTGAGCCCTCCCTCAGGCTTCAGACTGCACTTTACCATTACACATACAGGTAGGGACACACCCAGCTGCGGATTCACACAGATGCTGTGATCGGCTCTGCATGGGAAGGCTCAGCTAAGGAACTGCCCATTACTCAAGTGCACACCCCCCTCTAGAAGGTAAACCCAAAATTATACTGTCTTGTGCTGCACAGAGATCTGTAGAGCATAAGCTCATGAAATTCACCCCCTCCCTCAATGTGGAGAGGAATATTCACAGCTTTCTGCCCCACAGTTATGATTTCCACACACTGGTTTTAGACAAAACAAGTTTATTAACTACAAAAGATAGATTTTAGGTGATTATAAGGGATAGCAAACAGATCAAAGCAGATGACCTAGCAAATACAACAAACACACAATCTAAGCTTATTATACTAAAGAAATTGGATATGTGTTGCAAATTCTCACCCTTAATGTTGTTTTAGCCAGATTGCAGAGATTCTTGAAGGCAAGCTACACTTGTTGCAGCTTAAAACTCCAGTTATTCCTTTCACAGGCTAGACAACCGT